AACTCGCCACTCACTATAGTCCTGAGCATGATGATGCTTGTTGTAGTTGGTTCTCCATTTAAAAAGTTCGTGGAAGCTATCAATTGAAGAAAAGCTCTGACTGATATTTCACTTAAAAAATTAAGAGAAAATTGATAACTTAGTCTCTATATTTTTAATTAGGATAATAAAATTTTTAATCTTTCCTTAATTATCAATTTGGTTTTTTAAATTTAATTTTTATCAATTTAATCCCTTATATTTTCTTAAATTATCATGTGAATCTTTTAAATTTTAAAATATAAATTTTTTTACTAGATAAAACACAAATTGATTCCTAAAATAATATAATGTATACAATATATTGATTATGGTAAAGAGGCAAAAATATTTATGAAGTGGTTAGCCAATGGTATCTAGTATTCTAAAGTGAAAAAAATGATATAAATACCTATAATGTTACATGAGTAAGTGTAAAGGTGACAAAACCATTAACTTTGCCATAACGTTGTTAGTTTTGACCGTTAAATGCTAACCGCATATCCCATGTGTTAATCTTTGTTAACCTGGACTAAAAAAAGTGCAAAAATGCCAAAGAAATCATTAGCTAAGAGTAAAAATACCCATAATATTATTAGAATTGGTGCAAAAGTGATCGATCCATCAAATTCTTTCAATGTTGACCATTTTACTGATATCTAAGCAGAAGTTGATCATTTTTCACTAACAAGGACAAAAAATATTTCCAAATAAAATTTTCTAAGTTAATCAATTATCGTATGAATATCATGTGAGAAAATATCATTTTAACCGAATATCAAATTAAAGCGCACGTGTCTTTGCAATAGTGGAAAAACTATTTAAAAATTTTGAATCTATCATGAATGAAATTTTTTAAGGTTGTGATAATGTTTTTAAGGTAGGGTAGTGTAAGAGTTGTGCTTAGTCTCAATCTTTAATTGTGTATAATTTATCTCACTATATTGAATCTCAAGTTTTGTAGACAAGAAAAATAAGTGGAGAGGATGGAGAAAGGGGATGAGATATGTGGCGATAGAAATAAACCATATGGCATAAATTTTGATAGATTGGTCACTATTGTACCTACTAAAGTAATATTATGGGTACTCATACGAAAATCGATCAACCTCTGTAAAAATTTATCTGAGAATATTTTTTGTCTACATTAGTGAAAAATCTTAAACTTTTGCTTAGGTGTTAACTGAGCGGTCAACATTTAAGAAATTTGATGGATTGGTCACTTTTACATTAATTTTGATAACGTTATGGGTATTTTCGCTCTTGGTCGATGATTTTGTGGGTATTTTTGCCCCTTTCTTAATCTACATCAATAAAGAATGACACATAACATGCATAGACAGCATTTAACGGTCAAAACTAATAGCGTTAGAGCAAAGTTAATGATTTAATAATTTTTATACCCACTCATATAATATTATGAGTATTTGTATTATTTTTCTTACTTTAAAATATTAGGTGTCTATGATTGATTATTTTATAAATATTTTTACCTTTTTATCCTATTGATAATATGTTGTGAGTGAATTACCCAATCTCTGTTCACTAGTTGCTTCACCTCTATAATTAAGTCATGATCAAAGTGCCCAGGATTTGGTTCAGCCATCAAGACTAGTCTTCCAAGGAATAAGTTTCTAGAATGACTTTTCTATAGCCAAGGTCACATGCTCAAATCTTTAAATTTTAATTCTTGATGTAACTTAATCCTTATAAATTTAACCATTTAAAATATTAAGATTAAATTATGCAAACTCTCCTAAATTTTAAACTATATACAAATAATCCTTTTTAACTTTTAAAACTTAATAATAAACCTCCTTAAATTTTTATATTTATACAAATAACCTCTAGTCATTAATTATATATTCCCTTAAATTTTATTTTTTGTACATTTAAGCCCCCTAATTTTGATTGATATATGGATAATCCCCTAAATTTTAAGTTATATGTGTAGATAATTAATGTATAAAATTAATTATATAAAGTTATTTGTATAAATATAAGATTTGAAGGGAGTTCATTATAATTTTTAATTAAAAAACTCTTGTCACCAAACACACGCACTGGACGATTTCTTGTTTTGTTTTGTTCAGTGAGAAATTCAAATGTACACCTCTAAGTTAATGGATCGAGTACTTCAAAAATTTTAACTTGGATTAAAATACTATAAGATAATAACACTACACTTGATTTTATTAAAGGAAAATTGATGACCATTTGATCTTAACAAAACTAAAAAAAAATTGTATGTCTAATTTACTAAAAAATTACTTGAAAACCAAACTGGACTTTCTCCATTCATAGATCCATAGGTGTTTAAATTGGCAAAGCACTTAAAATAAAATTGCCTTCAGCATCGAATTGGCACGAAGAAAGATCAAATTATTAATTATTAATTATTAATTAATGTGAAATGAAAGTCATCAATTTAATTAAGTATTATTGTGGGATCCGTCAATGACAAAACTAAAAGTCAGCCCGCTGATATCTCACTAAAATTTTAATTCGGGAAAATAACAATAAAATATTTTTAAAATATATAAATAATAATTTGATCTCCTAAAATATTATAATTTCAATATAGTTTCTATGAACTTTTCTATCATTAATGAATTTATCTAAATTATTAAATTACCCTTATTGAAAAGAAATGATTCATAAATTTTATTTAATTATTCACGATTTTTTTTTTATATTCATAATAATGTAACAGTAAATAAGAAATTTAACATGTGAAGTTATGATTTGTTATTGTATTGTTGTGAATATAAGAAAAAAAATTGTGAATATTTAAACAAAACTTGTGAATCATTTATTTTCAATAAGGGTAATTTGATAATTTACATAAATTTATTAATGAGAAAAAAATTTTAGGAACTTTAGAAGAATTATGACCTTCCAAGGAACCAAACTGTTATTTATATTTTTTAGAGAAATTTTATTATCATTTTTCCTTTAATTCCACGCCCACGCCATTAACTAGATCAAATCAACGCCTTTTTTACTATATTATCTCTTTATTGATTTATTATTAAAATTTAATAATTGATAATGCTCATGACATATTCAATCACCCCTCAAATCGTGCTAGTTTGATCAATTCTTTTCATTGAATTTAAAACTAAATTACCCATTTTTTTTAATATGGAATTGAATAGTCGGACAAAAAAGATCAAATGTTATATAAAAAACACTCAAAATAAATTGAAGTTACATGAATTATATATATATATATATATATATTGATTTTTATTTTTCAACTGAAACATGTCTCTCAGCCCCCCCCCCTCCCCAGATTTTGCCATTTCGGCAATGAAATATTATGGAAAGAGATTAGTGGCTATCGGTTGGTTTAGGCTTCTCATTTCCCATAAAATTTTCAGTAGTTTTGTCTTCAATTTTTTTCCATTTGACTGAAGTCTTCACTAAAAATTACTCCTACTTTTTTATTCCCTTCTTGTCTATAAGATCCATAATTTGTAACCGAGAAAGTTCACAAACAGAATCAAAGAAGATACACTATTTCATGTGAATATAGAAAATCCCAATAAAGTTATCTCCAATTAAATTTGACAATACTTAATCTAACTCAATTATATAGCTATATATAAATATATGTAAAAGGAAAAAATTATGTAGAGGTTCCATGAAACAAATTTATTCACAAATAACTCCTGCAAAATTGAAAAACTACAGCCAGATCCCTTGAAACCTGAGCCTAATTTGAAAGTAGGCTGCAAAGACAATAATACCCTTATAAAATATATATTATATCAATCAAATAATTAATTTAAAACTATTCCATTAGCAATTTATGACTCAAATTTTAACTTTTTATAATTATATCTTCACATATCTAATAACTAAATAATTATGTGTTACTAACAAAGTTTAACATTAATTATTTATAACTATTTTATTAATAATTTATAATTATAATTTTAATTTTTTAGAATTGTGACTTTACATATTAAATAGTTAAACTGATCAGTTATATTATTAAAAATATAAAATTATAGTTATAAAAAATTAAAGTTATAGTTATAAATTATTTGATTGATATATATATATATATGTTTGATAAGGGTATTATTATATATATATATATATATATGTTTTTAAAAGGAAACGGTGGGGAGGAAGACTTTTGGATCTATTCGCATCATATGTTGCGTTAGACAAAGACCTCTAAGCACGAGAAGGATACGGGCCTCAGGCCCATTGAGCTTATTTAGTTAAATCAGCCGCTTCTGGGCGTTAATCAAGGCACTGTTGGTAACAAAATAAAAAGGAACCCTGATCTCATAAGAAACAAACAAGAACCATAATTCATAGAATCCAACCAAAATTAAATAGGGGAGAAGATCTCCGATATTTATTACGCATACATGAAGAGTGCAAGACAAAAATGAAAAGAGAAAGAGAGTGAATCTCACACACATACATTTTCACCCTTTTGTCCCGAGTTCTCTTCATGATCACTTTCAAACGAAATGATTCACTGAACGGTTTCAAAATTCGGGATTTGCAGATCTAGTCCAAATCCCTCAGCTCATCAATTCACACAATTATTCAATTGAAATTAAGGATTCACTAACAAAACTAGACACAACATAGATATCACCTATTGCAGAAATGACCTTGTATAGATAGCATGTACTGTTTTATCAAAGTCAAAAATTAAAGATTCATATTTTCAACGACATTGATAAATGTATACAATTAAGCAGACATTTGGCTTGATTGTTTCTCGTATATTATACGCGTGACTTTAAATAGTTACTATATTATGTCGCTAAAATATAAAATCTGCAAATTGAATCCTTACTATTTTTCGTCAATATGATAGAGAGGAAGTATCTCAATGAGTTGACAAGATTTCCGGGAATGATGGTCCATTACGTTAATTTCTCAGTTTCATCATATTTTTGCTTATAAATTACGAGCCTTCTCTATTTCTCTTCACTTCAGTGTCTCTCCGTCAAGTGCAATCCAGTCCATTACTGGTAAAACCTTCAAAACTCTCTTTCATGCATGCCTTCTTCTTCTTGTTCATTCGTCTTCTTTCTGAAACAGACATAATTGTATTTTCTGTGTTATTATTGCATTAAAGCTGCAGGTATATATATGAAGGAAGGAAACAAAAACATGAGTTTCATTCTTGTGGTCTTGTGCTGCATCTTCCTTTTCCCAGGTTTGTTGTCCATATCCTCTCTCCTTCCCAAACTTCCACATCAATTTCTTCACTGTTTCTTAATCGCATTTCGTCCTGATTAATTCCAGTTAATTTGAGTAAACTAATTATTATTAAGGAAATAAAAACCTTCCAACATTCGTTGTTAAACCCGTGAAGAAGCGCTCTCATTTATAAAACGCTCTCACAGTCTGCCACATCTTAAATCGTTTTTCATGCATAAGCGTTCTGATCTATAAGTTCTCACATGCACTCTTTTATTGTAGTGTTGGGGTCTCCATTTGGATCATACAAATATTTATATATTTTAGGTTGATGTTTAAATTGAAAGAAACTAGACTATCGATCAGAGTTTTCAATCTACATAGGATAACTAGCTATCTGAACTGTTCTTAGAGATATCAAAAAAACCCTATCTGAACTGTTTGGCTTAATTATACATTTGTTTGTTAATCCTTAATTGGCCATCTCATTAGTCAAAAGTTTCGCTAAATTATACCGATACGAAGATTCTCCAACCGTCTTATTGGAGAGTCCTTCCAAAATTATAGATGAGCGTTGGGGATTAATGTAAAATGAATATAATATTTAGTCATTGAATTTTATCTTTATATGTTTTTTTTTTAATTTTTCTTTAATGTTCGGTAATCGCTCATGGGTTAATAGTAAATTGAACAAACTATAAATATTTCATGAACTGACTAATATCGAGTCTAAATTTAGACGTCAAATATATAGACATGAATCAGATATGGATCCATAAATATATATATATGTATATATATTTTGCGCGCGCTTTGGGAATTTATCCTGCAGATAATTCACATGACATTTTTTCGAGCAGAGAAATTAATTGACACCATTCTCTTTGAGGGCCATTTAACGAAAATTAATGAAAATGTTGGCGTTGATGAATGCTACTGGGAGGAGGATAATAAAATACTTTCAAAAATACAATTACATAGTATTTTTATCTCAAATTATAAGATATTCTGAACAAAAAAATTTGATATTTCAGAATATAAAATATTTTCACAAAAATAATGGTTTTTTTTTCAATACTACACTTCTTATATATTCTCTCTCCTTTATATTTTTTGACAAGTAAAGTGAAAAGTGTGTTTAAAAGTTTGTCTTTTTATTTTAAAAAAGTAAAATTGTGAGTTTATTTAATAAATTTTATTAGTATATGTGATTTTTCTAGTCTTGGCATTTCGGTAATTTTGCCCCCAATCCCTCCATCTCCTCATTTTTGCCATTGTGGTTCGCGCGTCTGCTAACTCCAATTCGTTTCTGAGGAGGCTCGCTCATTTCCTGAAGCATAGTTTTGGTCTTCATGGGATCGAGTTTGTCACGTCCTTCAGCACCTTTCAACAATTTTTTTGCTTTCAACTCGAACTCCTTTACCCTCCTTTGTTTCCTTCATGCATGGAAAGTAAAGGTTGGAATTCATTGTTGCATGACGCAGATTCCTGAATCTTTACTACGTACTTTCTCTCTTTGGATGTTTACCCCATCGTCCTCCCCTTGGATGGCCTGATCCTCGACCATGTTCCTACTTTCTCCAGGCTCTAGCGACTAACATGAGACCTCCGTTTGACCCCAAAAGAGAGAGAGAGAGAGAGAGACATCCGTTCGAGCAGCTTCTCGATCAACTTGAGTACACTGTTATTGCTATAGTCTGTGATTCTGAGTTAGCGTGGCCTGTCGATGTTGCAAACCATAGGAATATTCCGGGCGGTGGCTTTGTTATCGACGACGGCGGCTTCACTGAACTTTCTTGAATCTGAACTACGTTTCAGATCGAGATCCAATTTTGGCCGGAAATGTCAGTGTTGAAGGACATTGACTAATTAATAAAGATAAAATAATTAAGGATGAGTCTAAAGTATTGGAGAAGCAACAACGCTAACGTAAGAAAATCCTAGGTCACCTACTGAAACTCACTTACTAAGGAATGGGGTGGTCAAATTCTAGAGCCTACTGGACATAGCTCTCACCCACATTTCCAAGTATAAATAGTTGTGCGCACCAAAGAAAGTGCGGAGGGAAGAGAGAAAGAAGGAAAGAGTGAAGTGACGCAAGGTGAGAGAATAGAAAAGAAATTTTGCGTGCATAAATATTGCGTCTAAAAGAGTGTTAAGTGAGGTAAGAGAGACTAAGAATAAGGAAAAAATTGTGAACAAAAAAACTCCTTCTTTTAAAAATATAAAAATTTTTTAATTAAATCTTACCTCTTAATAAAATAATTATTGATTTTTAAATTAATTTTATCTTTTTATATTTATCTCTATTAAATACCCTATAATAAATATAAAGTTGCTATTAATAGGGATACTTTAAAAAAAGAGAATGACTACATCTTGAAAGATTAAAAATGTCTTACATTTTTGAATATCTAACTTCTAAAAAAATGCTTTATATTTTTTGAATGGAGAGAGTATACTTTTTATAAATCATTTTTTTCTATCAACTTGATTAATATTAATGTTAAAAAATATAAAAAATAAAAGTATATAAAATTTTAAATATATTTTTATATAATAAATTAAAAAATTAATATCATATTGCTTTTTTCTTTATGAAAGATAATTTTAAAAATATATTTTAAATATTATTTAAAAAAATTGTATCGTAATTTATAAATGAAATTAAATAAATTTTTTTAAAATCAATGTCATAAATGCCACTGTATATTATAGCCAGAGTAAGCAATAAAATTTATTTTCAGTTAAATCTTTCTCTCCTTCCATTTCTTAAATCCCAACAGCTACCTTTCCCTGGCTCTCCAAACAAATCCCATCGCGTTTGCTTGCTCAAGCCTACATTTGTTGACGACTGATCCAAGTATAAGGTCCATAGCTCTATTATGGACGATGCTGGTGTCGTTTTTCAAAACGTTTAGAACAACCATTGGGTCTGGTATATTTAGAGAGGTAAAATACTTTTTTCACGATAAAATTAATTGACAAACAGGTCTTGAGGATTGGAAAATAATTATACTATTTTGTGGTATTTAACTATCTTTTGAGTATTTAAAATATATTTTTATGTCATTCTTCCAATAACTATTGTTTTAATTTTCAATATTTGTCTCTCCCAGCAAAATATTATTGCTGCTATCAATTAAATCCAATTAAATTTGTTGTAGCAATGTCGTAAAAGGCGCACGTTCTTCTGCTTTCCAATTTTTTTTTTTTCCTGAACGAATTCTTTGTTTATCTTTCATATTTGGACATAAAATTCTGTTTAATTTTCTCATGTGAAAATCGTGTGATGTAGACTCGTTTATATTCGAATTAGATTTAGTCCTTTTGTTTTTCGGCGACCAGTAAGCCAGCATTAGTTTTGAGGGTCTAGTGATTAAGATTGACAATGAAAATTTAATATGAAATGATTTGAATGGTGGCATTTCAGTTTAAAAATATTTAATAACTTGACACCCTTTTCTGCTGTTAATGTGCTGAAAATAGTGGTATGTCTGGCGGAAAGCAATATTGCTCAAGAAGGTATGAAAAAGGATTTAGGAAAATTAAAAAAAATGAAAAAGAAGGTATGAAAGAGTATTTAGGAGAAATTTACAACCAAATGTTAGGAATGAATATAAGATTTTAGCTATTCAGTCCAAAACTTAATATTAATTTGCGGTTGTTAGTACCCAAATAAAAAAGGGAGTGAATATAATATCCTCTGGTCCTAAATCGTATTTTCCTCTTCACTGTTGATATCTCATTAAATTATTACTCCCTCAATTTTAAATTATAGGGCACTTTTAAAGGAGTTTCTTAATTTTAAAATATAAAATACTTTGAGTAGATTGAGGTTTCATTAAATGCATCAATTTCAATATTACTTTTTCTCTCTCTATAATTAATTTCCATTACTTCTCTTTTCAATATATTAAATGATGGATATTTTGAAAAGTTTATATTTTTATTTTGGAAAGATAAAGTTGTTAAGTGTATTGAAGTTTATTGGCATGTGAGATTTTGTCTAAAAGTGTCTTATAATTTGAGACAGAAGGAGTATTATTTTTCTGGTAATTATTCATTAGAGCAATGGCAGATCATAAATAACAGTGCATGCCATGGTTCCACAGGATATGAAGCCCAAGCTCTGTCCTATGATTACTCCTCCAGCATCCAAGTGAGTTCTCTTCTTGATGCAACAATTATAATTTCAAGTGAAAAATATCATACAAATATGCGAACAGATCAATCTGATGTAAATTAAAATGGACTCTAATATTTTGAACATTACTATTACTAGTGTCTAGAGAACCCCCAGAAGCCATTGTACAATGGAGGAATCATCAAGAACCCAGAATTCAATAACGGACTTCAAGGCTGGACTCCCTTTGGAGATTCTCAAATCCAACACGCAGAATCCAGAGGCAACAAATATATTGTGGCTCATAGCAGAATTCACCCTTATGATAGTGTTTCTCAGAAGATTTATCTGCAAAAGAACAAGCTCTATTCATTATCTGGTATTTGTTCTCCCTTCTTCCCTTACATCATTACTTGGCACATCATGATTCTTCATGCTTGATCATGACTGGATATTATGCAGCTTGGGTACAAGTGAGTGGGGAAAATGCTGCAGTTTCAGCAGTTGTGAAAACTAGAGATGGATTCAAACATGGCGGTAATGTTATTGCAGAGTCTAATTGTTGGTCCATGCTTAAGGGTGGCCTTGTAGTTGATACTTCAGGACCTGCCCAGCTCTATTTCGAGGTACTTTGACATCAGTATTGCATCAAGTCTGAAGAATGTACTGTATTATTTATAACTTGTGAATGATGCAATTTGATATAAAAATGTTAGATTTTTTATTGATATAAAGTAGCAATTGACGCCAACAAAGTGTATGTGTAGAGCAATAATACTTCTGTGGAGATATGGGTAGACAGCATTTCCTTGCAGCCATTTACGCACAAACAGTGGAGACTTCATCAAGAGCAAAGCATTGAGAAGGTAATCCTTTTGTTACAGTTTCATTTTCATTAGTATTTTTGCGCCACATGTATAAGGCAATATAAATCCCACTGACATTAGGAACTCAAAAAATAAGAGATTATAATTAGATATCTTTTTTCGCTTAACGTTTATGACTGTGATATAGTAATATATAGAATCTAGAAAGATCTCACTAAAAGCAAGTCTTTTTATATCATCATAGACACGCAAGAAAAAGGTACTGATACAAGCAGTTGATGAAAGAGGCAAGCCCTTATCAAATGCGAGCATATTCTTTGAGCAGAAGACGCCAAGCTTTCCTTTTGGGAGTGCCATAAACAAGAACATCCTCAGCAACAGTGCATATCAGAACTGGTTCACCTCTAGATTCACAGTCACAGTATTTGAGAATGAAATGAAGTGGTACAGCACTGAAAGCACCCAAGGCAAAGAGGACTACTCTGTTCCTGATGCGATGTTGCAGTTTGCCAAGCAGCACAACATCGGTGTTCGGGGTCACAACATAGTTTGGGATGATCCGAGTCAACAACCTAGCTGGGTTCCTTCACTCTCACCAGACCAGCTCAACTCAGCAGTTCAAAGAAGGCTCAATTCTGTTGTGTCAAGATACAAGGGCCAGCTTATTGCTTGGGATGTTTGCAATGAGAATCTCCACTTCTCATTTTATGAAGGCAAACTTGGGCAAAATTTCTCACCCAAGATTTACGATGGTGCTCATAACATTGATGCACAGACCACTTTGTTCTTGAATGAGTTCAACACCATCGAAGATAGTAGAGACGGTTCATCAACCCCTGCAAAGTACCTTGAGAAGCTCAGACAGATCAAGGACTATCCTGGGAATAGTGGATTGACCATTGGGATTGGGCTGGAGTCCCATTTCTCTGGCCCTCCTAATCTACCTTACATTAGATCTTCTATTGATACTCTTGCTGCCTCTGGTTCTCCAATTTGGATCACAGAATTGGACGTCCAAAGCGACCATAACCAGGTAAAGCTCATGAGAATCAGTCAATCATGCTACGTTTGATGCATTTATGCTATGCATGGAAAAGGGACTTTCCTGAAAACATATTTTCCTAAGTAGGATTATGAAGTGTATTACCAATTTTTAACATGCCAAACGCACAATTCTATCTCTTTCTCTCGCCTTTCGATTTTAGAAAGGACTTCTCTTCATACCAAACATATTATTAGGGGTAAAAACACTAACATAAGCTATTTGTTTTTTCATTTTGGTTTATGATTAATTGATTCAGGCACAGTACTTGGAGCAGATTCTGAGAGAGATCCATTCACACCCAAATGTTCAGGGCATTATGTTGTGGACGGCATGGAGTCCTAGTGGGTGTTACCGTATGTGCTTGACTGATAACAATTTCAAGAACTTGCCCACAGGGGATGTTGTGGACAAGTTGCTTCGTGAGTGGGGATTTAATACAAAGTTGAAAGGAACAACAGATGCAAATGGGTTGTTTGAGGCAAATCTCTTCCATGGTGACTACCAAGTGAAGGTCACTCACCCTGTTATGACCAACTTCACTTTATTTAAGCGAATACAGGTGATGCCATTAGATGAACCAAAGCATATGACCCAAGTTTTTCAACTTTCTGTTTAGTTGGGCTCTTTTCCATATAGTAGGTACTTTGTGTAAAAGGGGCACCACAAAGATGGTTCTTATATTTTAACTATGCCCGTCACTGTAATATCTTTAATGTCATCAGATGTAATCATCTTTTTTAAAAGTGCCCTTAATAAATAAATTACTTTATATTTATTTTAGAGTGAAACACTATATTAAATAAGTTAAATATAAAAAGATGATGTTAGTTTGAAGATAACAAATTATTTTATTAGATAATAAAATTAAAAACGTCTTATATTTTTAAATGAAAGAAGTAATAGTAAATTTTTTTTTCTCCCAGAGCTCGTGCAGGCTGCTAACGCAAGACTCAATGCGCAAAAGCACAGATGAAAAATGACAAGAACAACACACCAACATAAACCAATAATTAATTAACATGTCAAAATCATAGTAATGATTTGGGTCGATGTCCAACACTAATGTGTAAACAAATCACTTGCTCTAATGTCGATAATAGTAATTTTTCATGCTGTTTCATTTATAAGATAGGGAAAGAAGAATTTCTTTTACTCTGTTTATAAGACATTTCATTGATTTTTTATCATAAATTTGACTTTTTACCACTCATTAAAGTAGATATGTTTAATAGGAATAATGTTTGGACAAACAATTAGGGATGAGATTGAAAATTTATTAAATTTTTAGATAAAATTAATAAATTTTAAGATTTTTTTTTATTCTATTGAAACATGTGACAAGTGATTTATAAATAAGAATGAAGGAAGTATATATATTTAGGGTATATATATAGACAAAAAAATTATTTTCGTTTTTTAAATTTTAATTTCATACTAAAATTTAGCCTATCGCTTTATTAATCTTTTTAATCTTTTAACTTTGAAATTACATTAACATATCTTTTCTTCTTTAACACCTTTAATTTATTTAACAAAAATAAATACATTACAAAATTAAATTAATTTACTTTTAAATGATATTAACAACCTTATCATGCCAAAAAAAATATTTTTTCTTTGATGTTTCAACTCTCAAATTTCCCAATTCCCAGTTAAAAATAAAATCTGAAAGTCGAAAACAATACATATCTTTTTACTATTTGTTTTGTTGACATAATGGAGTGGTTAAAATTACTTTAAGGAAGGTAATTGAAATTGAAAAATGTGCCTCAGCTTATCACTGAGTTCAATGAACCTAAGAGAACAGTGCCCATTATGGAAGCATCCCATGTCCAAGTTATTGAATGCATGGGTGAATCACCAATCTCTAAATACATATTCCAATTCTATTGTAGTTTGGGGGAAGTATTATATAATGCAATTTAGCATTTTTATTAGACAATTTTAATAAGAAATTTTCATCATGTCAACTAATCAAATTAAAATTTAATATAAAATTAAGGAATTAAAACTAGCTCTGGATAGTACTGGATATTTAAAAAAAAATCATATTAGGAAAGTTTTCCCTAATTAAGCCTAACAATACTTAAATATAATTAAAAAGTTTCAGATTTTAAATATTAAATAATTATTTAAAAAGCTAGTATTTTACACACATATATTATATGACCCCAAAGCATAGGAATAGCCCTAGGCAATTTTTTGAGTATAAGAGAGGGCATTAATTCTTAAATTCATGCTATAAATGTTTATCAATATTTATAAAATTTTGTTTTACTATTTAACTACAAATCCCAACAACATAAATGGGAATTACTATAGCCTAGCCATTTATGATGACATTGAAAAATGTGGACCATAAATTCTTTACCTTTATAATATGTAGCTACTGCTTACTCCCTCCTCCCTCCGTCCTTATGTATAAAAGTATTTTTTAAAAATTTATTTTATTTTTAAATATAAAGAGTAATAATAATATTTTTATGTAATTAAATAATTTTATTTTAGTTTAAAAAATAAAATAGATCATTAATTATATATTTTTTTCTATTACTATCGTGTTAATTATGATATTATTAAGGATAAAATTAAAAAATTATTATATTTTTATTTGAGTTTAACTAAATAATAAATCATTATTAATATGTAGAATTTAATTAAAAATATTTTGTATATAAAGACGAGGGAGTATCAATTAAATGGATATTTGTTTATGGGAATCTTAAAGCATTAGCATGCTGTAAAAGATGCTACACTATTTGTAGTCCTCTCCTCAGGCAACAAGAGAATATATGTCTCCGAGTTCTGAAGCTACAAGTATGAGCATCTTTCTCGTGCTGTGTATCATCCTCTTCTCAGGTTTGGTGTCCATAAGTGTTCTGCTTTAAAGTTTATACATAATAAATGTGGCTATTATCAAAATTTAATTTTTAAAGAAAACCATATATAATTCAATAAAAATCATTTACTCTTCACCTTTGAAAAAAAAAATCATAAGCATATTTTCTTTTCTTTCTTTTTTTCAATACGCTTTTAAGAACAATTTTTTCATCTCTGAGCTTATTAATCAAACACTTCTCCTATCTTCCTTTCATCTAAAACGTTCTCACTTATTCCTTCTCAATTTTCAAACTAATAGGCACTTTTGGTTTTCATCCTTCCTCATCAATTTTTTAAATTTTATTTAGAAAAAATGACAATAAAATTTCACCAAAATATATAAATGATGATTAGGTTTCTCAAAATACCATAATTTTTTTAAAGTCCTTAGGTACTTTTTTAACATTAAAGATTTTAGGTTAAATAATTAAATTACTCCTTGTTTAAAATAAAAATTTTTAGTTTTATTTTTTGAATTATAACTTTTGTAATGTGAATCGTAAAAATTGAACAAGAAATTATAATTTTTCAAGTAATTTTTTTATGATTGATAAATAAGTTTTGAAAATAATCAATTTCAATCATAATTTTTATTTAAGTAATTATAACTTTGATTCTATGAATTACAAAAATTGAACAAAAAATTACAACTTCTCGTATGAAATTTTTTTTATTATTGAAGTCTAAGTTCTAAAAATAACCAATCACAATTTTTAACATGTGAATAACAAGAATTGAACAAGAAATTATAACTTTTCAAGTAAAATATCTTTTATTATTAAAATTTAAGTTTTGAAAATAATTAATTATAATTTTTTTTAAATAATCATAATTTTTATTCCATAAATCATAGGAAATAACAATCCTATTATTTTTTTAATTTTAAACTAAGGGTAATTAAGTTATTTAACCTAAAATTATTAATGTTAAAAATATTTAGGAACTTTAAAAGAATTATAACATTTTGAGAGATGTAACTGTCATTTATATATTTTAATAGAATTTTATCATTATTTTCTCTTTTATTTGTCCTCAATTGCTCACTTTTACATTTAAAACCTTTGCATCGTTTTCTTTTACACATATAGTATATACATGAATCTTGCGCATTGTATGAAGTTTGAAATGAATTGTAGTATCCATGACTCAGGAAAAATATTATCCATGTATTTTGATTGCATTTTGTTTTTAATCTTTATAGTTTTATTTTGTTATTTTCAATCCTTTTGGTTTGATCCATCTGTAACGTTAATTATTATAATTTTAGAAATACACAAGAACCATAAGTTGTCAACGATATAGTTAATTTTAATTTGCTGATATGCACTTAACTCCATTAATATCTTTGCTGACGGGTATTTAATCCCACCTTCATTTTCCATATTTTGTTTCAACCAAATATGAAAATAATAAGTTTTTTTTTTCATTTACATTTTATTTTCAATCATACTTGGTCAATTTATTTATATGTTATCGTTATACTTTTATCATGTTATACTTTTATCATGTCAGTAAAGTGTTTACCAAAGTTACAACAAAATTACATTTATTAGTTACAGTTGGTGGTCTTTACGTACATTATTTTAAAACCACACGAATTATTGTTACGAACTAATCAAACTAAAGGACGGTGAACAACAAAATAAACTTACAGGGATTAAAACTAAAATGAAATAAAGTACATGGAGCTGCTGTTTTATTTTCTCTATAAATTTCATATCATAGATAGATATTACCGCAATTAATATATATTTTTTCTTTGGCATGATAGGCACGAATTCATCTACCTTTTTAAGATACGAGAAACTAAAAGAAAAAAAAAATGAAAAAAGAAATGTGGATCTGAGATATCCAAATTCTCTTAAATGTAATTATGCTAAAATAAAACGTGAGAATTCATAAACTAGCAAACATGCATCATCAAATGAAAAATCTCTTAACAATTCTGTTCACCAAATTCTCATTAACTTTCAGTAAAATCACATGATCTGTATCTTGGCATGTAAATGACTTTCGCAGTCATCGAGTCTTTGAAATTTTACTCAAGCCTTTGACATCAATATACATAATGCCTCCACAGGATTTGAAGCCCAGGCTTTGCCATATGATTACACAGCCAGCATCGAGGTGAGCTCTTTCAGCAATATTTTACTTTTCAAAACAATATTAATCTTAATAAAACATTAATTTTACTAAATTAGGGGGAGGTTATGATCATTCATCACTAGTTAATAATGTGCGTGTTATTTTGAAACTCATACTTCACATGAATTATGTTGGAATATTATTTATGAATTAGCATTAATTAATAAGCCCAATAAATTGGTCCTTATGATCTTGTATGGACCGTGATAGGTGGACCATACAAGTGAGCCCAATGGGCAGAGGCCTAACCCACAGGTTCCCAGAGCCTTCAGAGAGTTCAGAGATAATGGAAGTAGAAAAAAAATAATTTGTGTGTTTGCGGTTACCGACTAATCATCTTATATAGATCAGATCGGTAACCGCCTTATTAAATAATTAAATAATTATATTATCTATTATCTCTGACTCAGTCAGTTAAGAGATAGGAAATAACTGACGGCTACTGGGTTGTGGATTAGGCCTCTGCCCATTGGGCTCACTTGTGTGATCCACCTATGACGGTCCACACAAGATCATAAGGATCAATTTATTGGGCTTATTAATTAATACTAATTCATAAATAATATTCCAACAAATTAAAGATGGAGAAAGACACGAGAAGGTGAGATTCACCTCCCTGTTAGGTGATCAGTTCTACACTAATAGGTCCTCTATTTCTCTCTTGCCATTTCACCTTAAATTACTTTC